TTTAGCTTTTATTACTTTTTTCCTGTAATACCCCCGTCCTTTCCGGGTATTTACCCGCTAAAGTCCGGTATTTTTCCTATCCTATAAACTTGCTTTTAATAAATTTGTTTTATACGCTTAAACAATTTTTTTTGTAATATCCTTTTTTGGGATTTACGAATTTTCCGATTTGTTATAACCTATTTATTTAACCAGGTATTTTCGTTTTTGCAAAAGCCTTTTATATTTTAGCAAAGCCTTTATTTTAAAGCGATCCTTTTTTTTTTTTCCATTTTTAATTCTTTATTTTTTGGTTTTTTGCCGAGCTTTTTTTTTAAACGCCCGCAATAAATTTGCCGGGAATACGTTATATATCCGGTAATTTACCGGAAGCTTTAACCGGAACGCTAAACCGGCTAACCCAACCATTTTTAAAATTTGGAAAGGTTTTAACCATTTATCCAATAACTTTTTTAACGGCTTTTTTATTTTAATATTCGCCGTATTTAGCAATACTTAATTACTTACCCCGAAAGGCACCGGGGTTTTGCCTTTGTTATAATACTTTTTGTACATATTATTTGCTTTTTTTAACAATTTTTTGGTTTGCTTTTTAATTGTTTCCAAAGCCCCCGCCTTAATTTTAACCGTTACCAAAGGTTTTTTTTTAATTACCCAAAAATTATAAAGCTTTTGTAAGTAAAATTTTATTAACAAAAACGCCGGGGTTTTTTGCAACCTTAAATGCACGTTCGTATTGTGCATTTACGTTGCTAAATGCAACAATAACGCCCAATCGTTTTGCTTTTCGTAGCAAAAGCACCGAAAATAATGCTTTATTGTTTGGTTCGTTCGTTTCGTTTGCCCGTTAATTTAAAAATGGTATGCTATCGATAGCCTTTTTGCAATTTTTAAATGTTTGGCAAAGGTTATCCAAAACCCGCTTATAAATAGTTTGTTTCGGTTCGATACAATTTTTTTGGGCGTTTTTAATAATCCCTAAACGTATGCAAATAAAAAACTTTTTAATTTTTTATTGGTTAATTTCGTAAACGTTGGAATAAAAAAGCTATATTTAATAAACCGGTCGACCATTACCAATATTGCATCGCGCTTTTTGCCGGTTTTATTTACCAACGTTAAAAACTTTCCGATAAAATCCATCGATAATTTTTGTCCCGGGCGGTTTGGTACGGGCAAAAATGCTAGCAGCCCGTAAAGTGCTTATATTTTTAACTTTATTTGCTAGCATATTTAATACGTTCGTACGTATTTGCGTACGTTTTTAACCATACCCGGCCATTTAAATTGCCGTTTAAATTTTTTTAAAGTTTTGGCCATGCCTTTGTAACCTTTCGTTAGGTTATTATATTGTTTTTAAAGCATTATTCGTTTAAGCAATGCTAAATTCGGAACCTAAACTTTTTTTTTGTATTTAAATAAGCCGTTGCTAATTTTCCAAACGTTAGGTTTGTTTTTTTAAATGCCGTTTTAAACGAAATCGTTTTTTATTTATGCTTTAAAAATGCGCTTTAATATTATTTTAATATTTTTTTTAGTAATGGTCGTCCTTACGTAAGTTGTTTTTTGGAATTTGGCTAGCAAATCGCTTTGGAATTCTTTTTTTGCTATATCGGCTTTCCCGTTTATTGGTATATTTTAAAAACGTTTTAATAAATTATCCGCGGGGTTTCGGTATTTTAGCTTTTATTTAATCGTAAAGTTATACTTTGCTAAATTTTCGAACCATTTTATTTAGCGCTTTATTACTTTTTCCTTTATTAAAATATAAATATGGTTTAAATGGTTGGTAATTATTTTAACAATTTTTTGTAAGTAAATTAAGTAATGCCGTTACTTTTTAAAAACTTTTACGATTGTTAACAATTTTAAATTAAAAATTGCATAACGTAACTTTTTTTATCGCAATTTTTTTAATATATAAATTACCGGGTGCTACCGGCCGTTTTGCAGCTATAACAATACCGCTTTTATCGCAAAAGCCGAAACGTTAATCCGTACGTACAACGGTTTCGAAAGGTTAAAATGCATTAATACCAAAGCTTTCGTAAATAATAACTTTAATTTGCAAAAAGCCTTTTTCGCAACATTTTCCAAATAAAATACGGTGTTTTTGCTAAAAAGGTTCGTTAAAAGCACAATAATTTTCGCATAGCCCTTTACGAATTTCCAATAATATTTTGTAAAGCCCAAAAACATTTAAATGTTTTTAACGCTTTCCGATATCTTTTATTTTAAAATCGTAATAACTTTATTCGGCAAGATTTTAACCCCGAATTTGGTTATCCTAAACCTTAAAAAATTAATACTATCCGTTTCGAATTTGCATTTGGCCGGGTTAACGTAAAGCTTAAACCGTTTAAATCGTTTTAATACCGTTTTTATTGTTTCGCGGTGCTTTTTTTATATTTTCGAAAAAATAAAAATATCGTTTAAATATACAATGCAATTGTTATTAATTAATTTCCCAAACGCTATATTAATAAAGCTTTAAAACGTTGTTAAAGCGTTGGCCAAACCGAAAAGCATTATTAAATATTCGTAATGTTTATATTTGCAACGAAAAGCAATTTTTTATTCGTTTTTTTGTCGGATCCGTATTTTATAATAAGCGTTTTTTAAATCCAATTTGGTAAAATACTAACTTTTAAATACCCGGTTAAATATTTCGTAAATTAACGGAAGTATTAACCGGTTTTTCTTAATAACCTTATTAAAACCCCGATAATCGATACAAAAACGAAGCTTCCCGTCCTTTTTTAAAACGAATAGGATTTTAGCGCTAACGGGGCTAATTAAATGCCGGATTTAACCTTTCGTTATAGCCTTATCGAAATATTCCCGAAAAGTTTTTAATTCCTTTTTGGATAAAAAATAAATGCTTTTGTAAAGCGATATCGTTTTTTCTTTTAATTCGATCGCGTAATTTTAGCCTATATGTTTTAGCAAAAGGTTTGATTTATAAAATTGCGCATATTTTGCAATTATTTTTTTAACCCATTTCGGGAAAGCTTTTAGCCTTTTCCCGGGGTTTTCCGGGGTTTTCGGGCGTGCAACCGTTAGTACGGCTATCGCTTATCCCGATTGGATTAATTTTTTAGCTATTTCCGATAAAATTATTTTAACCTTTTTGGTAATTACCGGAAACCTTTACTTTATATTTCCAAACCGGATTTTAATATCCTTTTGCTAAAATTAAAGCATGCTTAACGTAATATTGTACCCGGCCCGGAGCATTACTACGTAAAATATTATTAACTTTTGGGTTATTTTTTAGCTATCCGTTACCCAAATTTTGTATTTTTTTACCTTTAGCGTAAGCATGCGTTTTTTGGTATTAAATTACGCCAAATAGCCCCCGTTTAGCACCGGTATTTTTTTTGCTTTTACCAAAAAACGGCTGTACAATAAATTAACGTTGTTTTTATTGTTAACCAGCGCTTTTAATTTTACCCGGCGACCGTTAATCCGTAAATACATTTCGGTTTTCCAGCGCATCCTGGCCGCCGGGGCGCACTTTTAGGCCCCGGTGCTTAAACGGCCAAATAGCGGTATCGAATTGGGTAACGATATTTTGTTTTTTTTAAAGCACGCCGGCCGGATATAGCTTAATTTTTTACACCCGTAACACCGTACTTCGGGCCTT